ACCAAAAAAGTAACTTGTAACTGTAACTTCGTTACAAGTAACGAGTTACTTCCATTCCCTGATTCTTTTTGGCTGAATTTTTACACCAGTTCATCTTTCTTCCTTTTCTCTCCAGGAGGAAAGAAAGGGAAGAAAGATGAATTGGTACAAAAGTTCAGTCAAAAAGAACAGGTCTATATTTTCTACGACCAAAAAATAGTACGTTCTGTTACGTATAGTGCAAGCAGGGTAAAACAGAAAAATTTTTTAAATAAAAATTATTATATTCTATATTAATTATTATCTTATTATTGAGGCTGCGGTCCACTTGCTTCTTCCAAATGCCCTAAACGTTATGCTCCAAACGCTACGCTCCGATTGGTCCATTACTATTTCGAATGCTACAATTGCTACGTGAACGCTCCAGCCAACCCACCTCCCGAGGTGAGGCAGTTGAAGCGAAGTGGGAGCAAAAACGATGACGTATTGATGGCGTAATCAGAGTTGCTGGGAGCGTTCTGAAGCATCAAATGGACCAGTCATATCAGTGCTACAAATGCTCTGTAGCGTTTGAAGCGCTAAGTGGACCGCAGCCTGAGACGAAAAAGGAAATTTCCTTTTATATAAAACATAACAATTAATAATACACAATATGATAATTTTACTTTTATCAATTTTGTTTCAAGATTTGTATTTGTTTATACAAATTAAAATACAGTTCATTATAAAATGACTGAAAATAATCATTACCCAGTCAGGGTACCTATCATAGAACAAGTCGGAATCGATTTCGATCGGAAATATTCAATTATTCCCTAGATTTTTATTGTGTTTTCTAGGAAAAATGGAATAATTCCGATCGGAATCCATTTCGACATATTTCATGATAGGTACCTTAGAACATATATAAATGGAAGGGGCATAGGGCACTGAACAGTGAACGTGAAGCCACATCTGTGCGAGAGAGAAAAGTAGTAAGGGATAAATGTTGCAATGCGCATGCGCAGCACCGTCATCTGTGTGAATTGTGCAGTTGGTTTAGTGTTTTTACCATTCGTACATACATTACACAGGTGTGTAAAACGTGATGCTGCGCATGCGCATTGGGAACATTTATCCCTTACTATCTTTCTCTCTCGCACAGATGTTTGCATCAGCGCGAGCCATGGGAAGTATAGGCAATTGCTGAATTCACATTGCATCCGATTTGCGTCGTACGACGCTCTGCAACCAATCAGAAAATAGGATTCATATACCTACTTACTACTGTGTGCAGTAAAAAGTAAAATAAGATTTAAATAAAATCATTAAAAAATATTAGAACTAAACTTGAATATCACAATTATATTACATGAAATCTAATGGCGAATTCGATTGGATGCACTAGTGCGCACTAGTATGCACTGAGTGCGCCTTCTCTCAGTTTTAGCGTGTTCGATTGAGATTATCCTCTATTGGTGCATATACTTGTGTTCGATTCATAACTACACTAGATTAGTGTCAATACAAATGGGTTCGATTCAGTGATGGTATACGGGCCGCTTTTCTTGCGCACGCGCATCGATAGAGTCACGTGAACCAATAGTCTCGCGCTCGCCTAGTCGCTTTAGCCGGCTCAGTCTCGTCTTCTTAGGCCGTGGCCGTGGGCGTCTGTGTTATGGTAGAGCACTAGAAACATAGGTATTCACGTCCACCATTTTTACTCCTTTCCCCACTATTTGTTCTCTCTTCAACCTTCTCTCTTCTCTCTTCAATCTTCTTAGTTTAGCAGCGGAATAGAGAGAGAGAGGAATTGAGAAAAGGAGCAAGAGAGTAAGAAAAGGAGTAAAAATGGTGGATGCAAATACTCACGTTTATAGTGCCTTAGTTATGGGCGCAAAAGTCTAGTTTTGGCGGGCTCAACGGAGGCAGGAGACAAGAGGTTAGAAATGTTTTAGGTAAATATAAATCTATTTATTTCCCTATAAACATACAATATTTTTAGAATATTGTATGAATATTATTTATCCTTTTTAATATTCATATAACATTCTAAGAATAATGTGTCTTATAGGTTATTATTAATATTGTATTTATAAAGTTATTTTTATCTTTCCTTTTTTCCAGCTTATTTTCAGCCTATTCTTAACGTTAAATTTGTATTAAATAAAAATATATAAAAATTTATTATATTTGACGGGTGATTACAGCACTCCTTCTTACTCGTATTAAATACTTCACTGAGAGCGCATACGCCGCGCATGCGCACGAAAAGCGGCCCGTATACCATCACTGGTTCGATTGGGTAAAGGTCCGCACACAAAGATGGTAGCAACTGAGTCGTAGTCGTAAGTCGTTGTCGTAGGTCAACGCACAAGGATTTTACGTATGTCG